TTTTTTTTTTTTTTTTTTTGGTACCAGGGATCAAACTTGGGTCCTTGTGTTTGCAAGGCAGATGGCATACTGAGCTAAATCCCCAGCCCATAAAAGCAATAATTCTTTTTAAAAATGTTTTATTTAATTCCCAGAAACAAAACAAAACAAAACTGGTATCTCTGCTTTTAGTATAGGTATGATCAAACCCATCTGAGAGTACAGACATACATTAATTTTCCATTTGCCCAAATAAAATACTTGCTGTTCCCTTCACTAGGAATGCTCTTCCCTCAGATATGGCTCACAACTTCACTTCTTTGAAGTTTTCCATTTAAATAGGTCATGTGAGGAATCATCTCTGGCTTTTCACTATAAAATGACAACTTCCTCTGCCCATCCTACCACTATCCAACTACCTTATCTTGCTTCATTTTCACCTGAGTAACCCATCACCTGGATCTTAGTGTCCTTATCTTTAAAACAGGAGGGACAATAGTACCTACCTCACAAGGTTGTTGTTAGCTTTAAATAAGCCAGAAACCCAGATGAGTACTGATAAATCAATACAGGACACACAGAGGCGAATACATTTTTAATTGCTTTGGTTGGTGTCTTTTTATTGTCTGCTTCCCCTGTTCAAACGATAACCTCAAGAGGAAGGGGTTGTTTGTCCACTACTGTTACCTTAATGCCTGTAAAGTGCTTATCACCAGGTATTTGTAATTGTTAGCCTCATTTAGTTCTGCAGCCATACCTATTGACAGCTGAGATTACAAGAAAAAGACCAATTATTTTTAAAGTGAAGGCAAACCGGTCCCACGTTAATATGAATCATTTCTAGTAATTCAATCTACTTGAAAAGCATATTCAGCAACATGACTCCTGGAAGCTTCAAGTAGGGAAGTGGTACTCCCTACTTAATGCACTCATTTATAATATCAGCATGGCAACAGGAACTAAAACATCATGTATAATAAGAAAACAAGAGTACAACTTACTTTTCATTCCTACTTTTGATGCATGGCTGGTATAGGACCTTGACAGCATTCCAGGCAGGACTGGAGTCTGATTTCAACGTGTCTTCGAATAGGGGGAACTTTGTGGTATGCTTGGAACTTCTCAAAGATTCAACCACCAAACTGTCTAAATTTAAAAGCCAGATCTAAGGGTATGAAGAGAAAAACTAATTTTAGGAGAACACTGCCACCATATATGTATTTTGTATCACCCCCTCCAAAATAACAAAAAACTATGAAATATACCAGGAAAAAAAAAGGAGAATCATATGTCTAATTTGTAACTAGGGAAGGCTTTTCAAAGCACTTCAGGACATTAAAAAAGGTAACAAGCAAGGAGAAAACATTTAATACAAAACTAATAACATTATTTGTAATCAAACAGACTTCCTATAAAACAGAAAGGAACAAAAACAGGCAACAAGCAGGAACAAAATTAAGAAGAAATGTGATAAAAATAAAAAAAATCAATATGACTAAAAATAAGGAAATGCAAAATTCCTATGTCAAAATTCTTCACTCACGAGATTAGAAAATACAAGATTGACAACATCTAGTTCAGAGCATGTTTGGGGTGAATATTCCCATATATTGTTGGAGGAAGAGTGTTTTGGGATTGGAATGCATGGGGTTCACTGAGAAAATGCTCTTAGGACAAAGACATGGAGAGAAATGGGCTAATGTAGGGGGAAAGGCTGCTCAAGGATGACAGATGGAGGCTATGCTGGACTCTGGCTTCAGCCTGATTCCATGCATAGCTCTGACGCTTCAATTGGACCCACAGAATCTGTCACCTTGAGGTAAGGGCCTCAGACACTGTGCTTCAGGTCCAAATCAATGACATAGGCTAAGGCAAGGATTGTCAGAGGGACAGTGAGGACAGTTAACTTCCTGGGCAAGGCAACATCTGTCATCCAAGGACAAGTATCTGCAGAAGGGTCAGCTCTAGCCATCAGCATCCAACAATGTCCAGGGTAAGAATGGGTGACCATCTCAGTCAAGAAGATCGGGGTGAGACACCAAGATTATCTACCTTAAAAGATTTAGTATGACTTTCTTACAAAGTTACAATTACCTGAATTTAAAATATACAAATCTAATGCTGTATTAGATTAGAAAGATGCTTCTAGAGCAGTACTAAAATGTATGTAAAAATTATTTTCTTGTATCATTGTCTTTTTTTTTTTCTCATTGAGTTTATTGGTACTTTTTAGGTATACAGTACAGTTACTTTCATCATTGGGTTCTTGTACCTTTACATGACAGGTCTTGGTTCTCATTTTTTCCCCTTGTCCCTGCCCACCCTTCACCCCCTCCTCCCTTCCCTATTTACAATAACTTTATTTCCATTTTTTCATTTTCTGATTTTTTCTTTATGCAGTAAAATTCTAATCATCAGTAAGATTTATATTTACATTAACAAAGAAATCCTCCTGACCTATTGTTATTTTGTAGAAAAATATTCACGTAATACTTTTTTTGTTTGGTTTTTGGTACTGGGGATCAAACTCAGGTCCTTGCACTTGCAAAGCAGGTGCTGGAACAAATGAGCTAAATCCTTGGCCCAATGCTGATTTTTAATAAACAAATAGCTGTGAGTGTACATTTACACAGTTGTATATTGATAGGAAGGAAAGCTGCAATTCTTATATCAGGCTGTTTAACATGAGTACCTCTCTTAAGCATAATAAACCAGTAGAGGAAAAGGGGACAAAAAGGGCGAACTAACACTGCCTTTTGTTCTTTATGGCATCTTAATGTGTTTTAAGAATGTATTATTTCATAAATATTTTTTCTTTTTCTTTCTTTCTTTTTTTTGAGACAGGGTCTCACTATATAGTTGAGACTGACCTGGAGCTATGTAGCCCAGGCTGGTCTCGAACTCACAGTGATCCTCCTGCCTCAGCCTCTCGAGTGCTAGGATTACAGGCATGAGCCACCATGCCCAGCTTAACATTTTTCAAATTTAAACATAAATTAGAAGGGGAGTAGAAAGAGATAAAATAAAGGAATTCAGAGGTGTTATGCACAAGCATCAACTCTCCATGAGGAATGTAATCATTATGTACTATCAACATGTATTAATAAAAAATAAAAATTAAAGCCGGGTGTGGGGGCACACGCTTGTAATCCTAGCACCCAGGAGGCTGAGGCAGGAGGATCGCTGAGAGTTAGAGACCAGCCTGGCTACCTAGTGAGTTCCAGGTCAGTCTCAACGACATAGTGAGCCCTTTTCGCAAAAAACCAAAAAAAAAAAAA